CAGCAGGAAAGGAGATGTGCTTAATGCGGGAGCCATGCCTGGGGGTTCCCTTCTCACCCCTTTTTGCAACAGAAATGTGTTTTAACAGAAACAATCAGCAACTTACCTCCTTATTCTTCTTCGGAAAACCAGTCCTGGATGCTGAGGCCACACCTGGTGGTTCCCTTCTTGCCCCTTTTTGCAACAGAAATGTATTTTAACAGAGACAATACCTCCTTATTCTTCTTCAGAAAACCAGTGCTGGATGCCGAGGCCGGGCAGTGGGGTCTGTAACCCCCATTAGTCTGAGGTGTGCCCTCCCGCAGCACAGGTCTGGGCACCTCTGGGCAGAGACAGCCTCAAAACCCGACCCTTTCCTGCCCCGAGCACTTGGCACAGTACTGGATTGGCCCCATATGGAGGGGAATGAATCTCCCCATGAGCATGTTTTCACTTAAATTACAACCAGCATTACTGGAACGTTGAAAGAAAGAAAACTGGAGACTTCCCCTGAGCCACAGATAATGTAAATGCTTAGTTCTACAAAACGCAATATTTCAACTAACTTCATCACGCATATATTTTGCATTTTAGGTGGTGATTCTGTCTTTGCTGATGTACCCGGTGCTGAGGAGTCTCGCTCTTCAGCTGCACTCTGCCGTCACTGGCAGCTACGTCTCTGGGGCCCACTCCATTGCCTTCATCAACTGTCTCAACGAGCAGATTGCCAAGGATATTGCAAGGTACGGAGACGCTTCCCCTGCTTGTCTGCTTGAGTTGTTCAAAAGCAGCTTCGTGTGGAAGAAAGCCTCTCCTTGTCCCTCGAGAGGAGCTGTACTTCTCTGGACTTTGCGCTTCTATCCAAACGGTGCTCCTTTTCTCTTGCACTCCTTCTCTCTCTCTGTATCACCTAGCCACGTACCAAGAGCTGTCCTTTCTAAAAGAAAGCTGACAATTGTCTCCGAAGTCAATGCCACGGTAACATCAAGCCAATTCTCAATTTATTCCACTGCCTTTCATTTTCAAGACCCATTTTAAAGCCATGGCCCTAAATCTCTGCGTCCTCAGATGGATTAAGCCCCAGCCCCATGCTCTCTGATGTCCCACAGTCATTTTTCTTCTCTGGAACAACACAGATAAATTCCAGGAGAAGTGTTTATGGAGGGGGAAAAAGCACAGTACACTGCTATGAAAATAAATAAAAGACAAAAGCGGTCCGCAGCAAACACAGACCAGGCACTTGTGCGGTCCCACCTGGAAGCCTGCACTCTGCTCACCAAACTTCAGGGACGAGGGCTTTACCTTGATTTTTTTTTTTTTTCCTCTTTTAATGTGTGAGATACTTTGCACGGTATTTTGCATGCAGGTTTTTTCACATATCCATCAGTCCCTGACTCAATAGATGGCTTGTTCAAAGTACTGAAACCATGTTGACGGGGGAAATGTTTATGATGGACCATTAAGTTTCCTGCAACACCTCCTGCGCTGTTTGCCCTGCTACCCTGCTGCTTGCCAAAAACTCTCCCCATCCTCTGTAAACCATTCCCAAACAGCCGTTCAGGAACTGACAGGCTACTGAAAGGGATTTTGTGTCACCTTAAATACTGCAACTGTATTAAGAAATTCAAACAGAATAATATCTGTACTGCCTGACGTCTTCTGAAAAAAAGGAGTAGCTGTACATGGCTGCTGAAAAGAGCCTCAGTTCCTGAAAATGCTTCATGTTAACAGCTCTGCAAATGTTTTCCACTCTTTGTTCCTTATCTTGCAGGGAAGGGAGAGAAAATAAATCACTCCCTATTGCTGAGATATATGTACTTTGGTTGCATTTTTGCTGGTGGAGGAATTATTCCTTTGTTTTGGAATTTGGATGAATAAGCCGCGGTTGTAGAGGATGACACAGGGCTTCTACGCTTATTTTCCCACCCACTGTTTTCCTGGTGCTGTCGTGTTTATTCTTCCTTTGTATTGCTCAGTGGAGCACTGACTTTGACGGATCAGACTGCAAGGAAATTTTCTGCTGCTTTTAAGGAGGAGGAGTTCAGGGCTTGTGAAAGCAGCTTAGCTGCAGGTAGAATTCAGCATCTGGCTTGTTCATTGCCGCAGTTCTAACCCAGTTTATCAGGATTACTACTAACTTAAAATCATCCGAAGAAACCCCGAGTCGACACAGGACATCTGGTCTCTCCCCTGTGCCTGCTGTGAGAAGGTGACCCCTTTGGGCTGGATGGTGTGGCCATTGCACCTCACGTAACTTAGCTAACACCCGAGCGGCCTGTCAGCCTCTGCTTCTGCCTTACATTTGTGCATGTCACGGTCTTTTTGCTTTTCTGCTTATTAATATTTCATCTGTCTCAATTCAGATCCTACCGGTGAGGCAGGGACAAAGAAACACACATTAAGTACCCAACCCAAAGATATCATGTATTATGCAGACGTTTTTCCACAGATCACGTTCAGCTTCTTATAACGTTTCCCATTCCCATGGCGGCCGCTTGTTTCCGCTCTGCTTGCTAGAACAAAGTTCAGGATCTCAGTTAGGATCACAGTTCATTGGGACAGCACAGAAGCAATTAGAAGGTATTCATCCAAATCAAAAGGTTCCTGCGCTAAAGTGACTTGGAAGTTGCAGGCGACAAAAACAAAATGATTCATGCCATATGTCTGACACGATAAACACAGCGGGGATATCTCCGCTCGTGCTGCTCCAGTTTGTTGGTCTACAGATTAACTCAAGATGCTTTACAAGCATTAAATGCCTCCAACTGGCTACACATGGTGAGAGCAAACAACCCGGAGCCTCCTCGGATTGCTGTCCTCTCAGGCCATGGTTCCTCTGAGCCATCGGCAGGGAGAAGTCCATCCCCGTCTCCTTGCTGTGCTTGAACATTAAACCCAATCCCACGGGTTAGCTGGGTCCAGGCACCGGTTCTCCGGTGCACTGCTGGACCGGCGAGATGTCGTAGGATCGTCGGGAAGGGCTGCTTTCCTCCCAGCACCCGGGCTGCTCCCGGTTCCTCCCGGCGCCGCAGCAGAGCCTGTGCAGCCCCAGAAGCACACTTGTGCCCTGTGCTCGTAGGTGCAAAGTATGAACTTCTACAAATAGACAGAGAAAGCAGGGATGATGATAAAGACATGCAAAGGAGCCTACATACATGCAAACCAGAGCCCAGCTTTCCTTACGGGTCAGAGGCCAGATTGCAATGCATGATGGAGTTGCGCGTTAGCACCCTGACCAGGGTGTCTTCGGGTCACGGCCGCGGGGGAGGCACCTCTTGCGCTCCTCCTGCTCGTCTTCGGGGACACGCTGGCCAGTTTGTTTTGTAATCGCCTCCAGTCTGTACCATACCCTGGATGCAAGGACAATAAATTGTTTTAACTTGCTCTGAGCCAAAAACATCCTGGAGAGCGTTTCAGATTGGAGCAGAAGTTAACTGGAATGGTTTTGATTCATTAGCTCACTAAGGGTTAATTTTTACAGGTTGTTGAATTGAGCCTTCCAGTATCTAGTAACTCCTGCCTTCTCTGCAGTTCAAGGTCATCTAGAAGTTAAATGTTTGCATTGTCAAAGCACTTGGTACAAAGTAGAGCCTGGCAACGCCAGTGTTAAAGAAAATCAAAGGTGAAGTCACTAGGGCAGCGCCTTTAACCGGCAAGAGGGACAGGGCTGCCATCTCTGTGAGACGGGCCCAGGCGTTGCTGTGGTCAGAAAACACAACATTTGACCTAGTTCTTCTAAAAATCCACCCTGAGATTGCTTCAGTACTCTTTAGTCACTTAAATGTCACTTCTGCTGGCAGACCCAAGCAGCTCTGCAATAACAAATCAGCCCACAACTAAAAGAGGCAGCCGGAGGGAAGGAATTTATTTGGACTTCAGATTTCCAGGACGTTTTGGGTAGAAAAACCTTGATGTTGTTAATTTAACAAGATCCATATTTAGTCCGCTATGCAAGGAAGAAGCACAGTCTGACAGCATAAATACAGGACTGGGAGACAAACCCCTTGGCGTCCGTCCCAGCCCCGGTTCTCGCGGCCCCGTGGCTCAGCCCCTGCCCTGGCGTCCCCGTGGCGAGATGGGCACAGGGCTGACGCCGGGTGGGATCCTTACACCATGTGAGGCACAGGTCCCGCCTGCTGCTCCGGGCCAGGAGCAACACCCAACCTTCCTGCTTGGCGGCGGGGACGGCAGGGACAGCCCCAGAGCCCTGCCTGGAGGACCTGAGCCGAAGCAGCCCCAGCTGGAGGTCACCTTTGCCTAGGCTTTCCCAGGGTAATAATTAACCCCAGCTCTCTCATCTCCACTGTCAAAGCTGGTGCTGGTGGTCGGGGTAGCACGAAGGAACGTCCCCACGGCTGGGGGCAAGCATTGAGCCCCAGCGAGCTGGGGACAGGCACTAACTCCCCCTCCTGTCTCACCAGGGCCATCCTGGATAAGAAGCTGGCTGCCTACGTGAACATCCTGCCGAAGAGCTTGGCCTTGTAAGTTGGGCTGAATGTTCCCCAGCGGAGGCGGCAAACCCGGGCTCCCCGGAGGGGGACGGAGGAGATGAACACCCCGCGGCCCCGGGGAGAGGAGGCAGTTTCCAGAAGGCTGCTGGGTCTGTTTGTTGTTGCAGATGGTAGAGATGCTCCTCACCCATGCAAAGTACGCTAAGCTTATTAAGGAGTGCAGATGCTCCGACTGCCAGTGGGGACCATTTATTTATTGCTTACTTAGCTACACGGAGATCTAGCAAAGAGCAAGGTGATTTACGGTCCTGAGGACATAGCGCCGGTTTTTAGAGGATCTAAAAAGAAGCTAAGATAGGGACCAGAAAAGGCCTTACAATATTAAGCAGCACTTACAGGAAGAACAATGTTTTTGACCTTGAAATACGACCAGCCATGCTCTGCAGGTATCCTCAGCCCTCCATGCAAAGGGATTGCACTTGTTAGCGGGGTTAAAGAACAAAGCCCCCAAACAGCCATTTGCTCGCAGGAGCACCCTGGCCTGGCCCCACATCGCAGCCTCCCCACATAGGGGCTCCTCACAGCGCACCCCCAGGCTCTCCCGGAGCCCAGCTGAGATAGCGCAAACCCAGTAACACCCTTCTTCCCCTTATGCTTGGCTCCCTACAAGCCACAACGGCCCGAGCCGAGTTGCTTGTGCACAGCCCTGCCTGCTCCAGCTGGTTTCTCCTCCGTGCCCCGCTCAGGAGACACCGTGATGCCTCCAATGCCTCCTTGTGCAGGAACCCAGTGCACAGATGAAATCACAACGGCCTTCTGTCAATATAAATGTTTTGAAAGGTCATATCGGCCTCACAAGAAGTACGTCTCCTCGCCTGCAGGGAAAGCGAGGAAAAAAA